AGGGAAGGCTGAGCCCCAAAAGGCACCAATAACAGACTCATGACCACAGGCTGTCTGTATCAGACTAGGAACCCTCCCTTTTACTTAAGATCAAGACATGGCGGACGAGCTGAGAGAGACGACCTGTGGACAGACCGCTCAATGTACCTTAACACTTGAGCAAGGACAACACCAAACCGAAGCTGTATGATTCCAAATAGCAAAACGCCTCCTGTTCTGGCATAACTGGGTATAGGGGTACATTGGCCAGAAACCCAGATTGGAACCCAGTTAGACAAGGGGAAACCAGCATGCAGCCAGCTATGATGCCTCACCCAGAGCTCTTCAGCTAAACTCTGCAGGCTGTCAGCATGGTATTGGAGATCCAGCAGCAGGAAGTGGTGAGCAGCATGAGTGGATGCATCTTGGGCATCCACTCTTTAAGATGCCCAAAATGACAAAAGATGATGACCCAGAAGCACACATCAAAGCTTTTGAGCATGCAGCGATACAGGTCGGGTTGGAGAGACTATACTGGGCCAGCCAACTACAAGCCCTAGTGATCAGAAAAGCCCAGACCACATATAGAGCCTTGTCCAGGGATGAAGCACAGGCTTATGAAAAAGTGAAGGCCGCCATCCTACACAGACTGAAGATCACTCCGAAACATTATTGGCGCTTGTTCCGGGCCAAAAAGAACCACGAGGATAGATGACTGCAGGTACTCATGCAGCTCTTGAAAGACCTAATGAGCAAGTGGTTATGTCCAGTGCTGTACGACAGAGAAAGCTTGGCTGACCAGATCCTGCTGGAACAGTTTCTAAGTGATCTCAAGAACAATATTTAGCATTGGGTGAGGTGTCATTTGCCCCAGTATTGTGAGGAAGCGCTGAGGCTAGCAGAGGCTTTTGCTGTGTCCAAAGGAGAATACGCCAGGGACTGGACTTATCGAAATGCCAGGACCAGCAGTTCATGGAAAGTGAAGAGAAAAAGACATGACCCGAGTAGAGGAGGACCTCTGGAGGTGGTATGTTACAAATGTGGCAGGATGGGACATATAGCAAACGAATGCTGTGGTAGCCTGGTAGATCAATGGAAACCAGGGATCAGTGGCGACATGGAGGGGGTGCATGTGCACCTCATGAGAGCACCAGTGCACCCCCTGTCAGGCCGCACTCCCCGTTTAGCCAGCAGGCAAGGGGACAGGTGGGAGCACCAATGCCCACCTCCCCCCTATGAGCGCCAGCCGGGGAGCAGGGCTGCCAGCAAAAGCAGCCGCACCGCTTCTGGAAGTGGCTGCGGGACTTACGGAAGCAACACAGATGCAGGGAGCATCCCCCCACTCCCAGCCAGTGGCATCGGCCCAGTCGCTGACTGGTGTCTGACCCGAGAGGCACCAGTCACCCATGCCAAGGATGGTTATCTGGAACCCTTAAGAGATGCTGAAGTAAAGCGAGGCCATCAAGGCATGGACTGCAGCCACAGCTGTAGTGAAGATGACAACGGATAGAGTCATGCAGTAGTGACAGCATGGGTGGAGGGACAACCAGTCAAAGCCACTTTCAATATCAGCTATTCCCAGTCACTGATCTGAGCAGATTTGGTGCCACGACAGGTAATGTGAGCAACAAAACCCATAAAGATGACCTGGCATCCATGGCGAGTCAATACAGTACGACAGGAAGTTCATCCCAGTGAAGGTCATGAAGTACCAAGGACAGTTGTGAGTTTGGATAGTACCTCAGTTGGCTTGTGAAATGACTCTGGGGTGAAACTGGCCACCTATATATGATGTCCTAGAGAGGATTAAAGAAGCCAAGGTGGAATTATCACCATTTGCAGAACACTGACAGGTAGCTTGGGGAAGCTGAGGATAGTCTCAACCGTGGCTGAGGAAGAGTTGATTTTGAGAATATCATAAGCACAGCCCAATTCCAGAAGGCAAAGGAGGAAGATGAAGAACTCCAGCAGATCTGGTGGGATGAAGTTACCCAGGTTGATGGGGAAGAGGTGCATCAAATCCCGCATACCCGAGACCCTCATTAAGAAGTAAGACAGAATCTATTGTACTGGGTAAAAGGGGAGTCCCAGGTGGGGACAGAAGTTGCCCAGCTTATGGTATCTGCCCAGTTTTGGAGGTTTTATGGAAACTTGGCCTCCCATGGGCATACCATGTGCATCTGGGACACAACAAAACGGTCACCAAGATTACTCAATAGTTCTTCTGGCTGGGGCTATACGAGAATGTAGCAGGACACTAAGGTGCCTGCTACTG